GTATTACAAATACCAAAAGTATTATTTACCAATCATCCACATGTATTTATCATTAAGTTATTTCTTGTATAAAATTATCTCCACAAAGATAAGGCGAACATTAGTGACATTCACACCTATCTCAGTGATCTCAATGCCACACATCAAAATCGCATTTTCAAAATACCATGTGAATTTTAGAACAATGAATATTTTGTGACTGTATTAAAATACACTTACCGGATAATTCGGTCATGAGAGGGCTTGCGTGTGAATATGCTCCATTAGGAGTGTCTTTTATTGTTGGTTCGCGCCTTCAGCTAATTTATATATTTTAGTCATAGAACGTCCGGCGGTGGACTATGTTGGTCTATGATTTGTAGTAAACAAATTCTTAAGGATGTATATCGTGGCAGGCCCTTGTCTCGGCACATATGGGTTGGATTCATGGCCCACAGTAGGGCAAGCTGACAAAAAATTTCAAACATTTCATTAAGTACATGTTCCATTGCAACACCGAAATTTCGTTTAGGCATAATATTATTAGTAAGACAATAATTTAGGTGTTCTGTATGAAAAAAAGATAGAGCTAAAATTGAGCAAACAAAGGGAACATTTCGTGACGTCACATTCAATTGTAGCCTCCCATTCGTTGAATTAAGCAGTACTGCTGGAGTGATAAAACAGGCCCACAAGACCGGTGTCACTCCAAGGACGGCAAATCATATGTGTCTCTTGAATTGACTCTTGCATCTCCTGCACTAGGAATACCTACGAGTATATCCTGATAAGTAATTGTTGCCACACTTAAAAAATTGAGGTCTACATTGTTTCATCATCATCAACAGCCTATAACAGTCCACTGCTGGACATAGGCCTGTCCTTTGAAAGGAGGTTTTGGCTTACTATACCACGCTGGCCAGACGGGTTGGTATAGGGTTTGTGTTAAGTTTTCCTTCTCTTTGCAGTGCTGTTGTCCTGCGTAGTTAGCTCCCTTAGTCGGCTCTTACGACACTCACGGGATGAATAGGGGTGGTGACACTCTGTATTCTTAGTCCGTTACCACACGGCCTTCATTGTTTGCTACCATAAAAAACCAACAGGAGGGTTTATGGCACAGTTAGGGTTGCCAGACTTGCCAGATTGAAACTTATCATGTCTGGGACAATTCTGTATCGGGATTCGGGCTGCAGCCGTAGTAAAAAAATAAATGAAAATAAAAAGGTGGATGTGTGTGTGTGTCCAATCAGATACTTTTCCAAAATGTATTTTTAAAGTTAAGTGTAATCTATTTTCGAATACTTACATACTTTTGTTAGATAGGTATGTAAAACTTAACTTATTAGGTAGGTAATTGACGCAAGTTATAAAAGTGTAATGAAAAACATTAAGATGATTTGAAAAAAGAGTACCTCCTTATCAACTCAACAAAATCATCACGTTAAATATAAATTAAATTAAGCAAATAGCTTTTGTTGTTAATAATTTTAAACGAATAACAAGGTCGGCAGGCCAGCCTTGTCATTCTTTGCTAGTCAATGATATTTTAAGGAAGATACGTTATATTCATACTGCGCGAACAAAATATTTGTTCCGTAACGCTATACATAGATCTATTTATGCACTTTAGAACAATATATACACTTACCTGTGGTAGGTATGATATTTTTATTTACATTTTTGGCGTAATTTGTGCGGTTTTGGAATACACAGGAAGGCATTGTATGCATTTTTTCGAATTAATTAGTACGTGCGCTCGCTTGCAGTCGTTCTAATTAGGGCTTCCCTTTCTAGGGTAGGGAGACGGCGTGCGGTTTTAGGTCGGTTTGAGTCCGACATAATCACCCACTTTGTGTGGTATCCGAGGGGAGTTCAGCATAGGAAAAAAAAGTGGTCCTAATTAGGACCAATTCACAGCACGCGTTTTGTACGTTGGTGGCATATCTACCTCTTGTTTGTATATAAACATATTATGATTGTTGCTAGTATATTTTTTTACAAAAAATAAAATGTTCTTGTATATAAAATATTATGAATCAAAATTATTACAAGTTATTATATTTGTATGGTCATAAGCATGGATCTACTAGGAAAAGTTTGTATTATATATAAGTTATGTCCTGTGTATATATTTTCCTTGTTTAATAAGTTAGCTTATTATAATTTGCAGAAATCAATTACTGTTATCTGTTTCTTTACTTTAATTCAAAAACTTGTTACACCCTGAAAAAACATTGCAATAGCGCCATCTAGTTCCAAAAATAAGAACTATAACAAGCGGCAGCGGTAGAGAACATGGAGGCTAACAGGTTTAATCAAGTTCGTTAATTCATCGACAGATGTCACAATAATGTAAAACTAAATTGACAAAGAAGAAAACTGAGGACAGGACAAATAGACATTATTGAATTTTAAAGAAAATATTATTACTGTGTCGAATTCACAACTAAAATTTAATGTCCAATATTTATGACTGTTAAGTACTCTGAATAATCTTTAAATAAAATTGAAGTGTCTGTTTGTAATGTCAAAACAATAGATTTTTTTCTTGCTCACACGGGTATTTGCACGAGACCAGCTTTAATATTTCTTGGCTTTCTGTCTGTCTGTATTTTCCGGGTAATCTTAAAAGCGGCTGGACCGATTTTGATAATATTTTACTACCAGTTAGCTGTCTATAGTCAGGAGTAACTTAGACTACTTTATAACCGACTTCAAAACAAGGAGGAGGTTCTCAATTCGACTGTATTTTTTTTTTCTTTTAGAAAAACACTATAAAATTTTACCCAGTCCGGGAAGCGAACCCGCTAAGGCAGCGCTTTTCAAATTCTACGCAAACGAAGTCGCGGGCACCAGCTAGTGGGTGTATAAGGTGTCTGGACAATACCAGAAGACGGAGGAGCGTGGGTAGGTTCCCATACATACAAATAAATAAAATTGAAGTGTCTGTTTGTATGTCAAAATAATAGGTTTTTTTTCATGCTCACACAGTTAGTGGCACGATGCCTATGCCTAAAAACCAGTTTAAATATTTTTTGTCTGTTCAACAATACCAAGGAGCCAGAGTAGGACCCAACAAGGTCGGTCCTGGTGAAGGAATGGGATTCTGCTTTCAGTGCCTTCACCATTCGTGCTTTGTTGTGGTGAACCTTGGGGGAGGCCCTATGACTAGCAGTGGACGTCTTTCCACTGAGAACCGGGCGACGGAGGTGCACTTACCAGCACCTCATGCCGCCCTGAGTGTGGCCGCGGGTGGACGTAACGGGTTTTCCCCTCCACCCGCCATAACGTCCAGCCGCTAGGAGGTGATGTCCGTGTGTACCGAATAACAGCAGTTCCCGGATTCCTGCTATTAGAGGCGCAGAGTGGCACACCGTGTGGTTTTAGTCGTTCCGATTTTCATACACCACCCCGCTGCAAGCCCCGGGCCCAAGGGCGTTTCCACACGTGTAAAAAAAGTGATTCATTCCAAACGAACTCCATACGAACCTATTATAGTCGACTTATACTTTAAACTATCCGTGGGAGAGCCATCATGCTTTGGCACATGAGCTGACACACAAAGGGTTCTTGGTTCGCTAAAGACGATGTAAATTTTGAAGTCATGTATCCTCCCGCTCTGAACACTACTTGTTTGAAATTTTCTATTAACGTTTGCAAAGTCGGATTTTTACAAAATTCACATCAAAAAAGTTGATCTTAGATGTTTCAAAAGTTGTCTTCCAACTTTATCTTTTCGTAGAAATATTTTTATAAGAAACGTCATAGTTATCATCATCATGACATCATCATCAACAGCCTTTAATAGTCCACTGCTGGAGATAAGCCTCTCCTTAGAAATGAGGTTTTGGCCTTCTATACCACGCTGGCCAGACGGGTTGGTATCGAGTTACGACACCCACAGGATGAATAGGGGTGGTGACACTCTGTATTCTTAATCCGTCACCACACGGATATGTATACCGTGTATACTCAGGGGTGTCCGTGTATACTCAGGAACACAGCAGGGAGAACTGTCCCATACTTCTCCTGTTCTATTGTGTAGTTCGTACTTCGACTTCCGAGAGGCTTTGCCTTGAGGGCAATAGGTATATCTAAGATGCTCACCAATGTTTCCCTAATGCTATGTTATAGTTATATTTAATACAAAATAAAAATATGATAAAATTTTGCACTTAACAAATAATTGCAGTCAGTCTTCGACTCGGAGAAAGAACAAATTGCGTTTGAGCAAATTGCACATTAAGTTGCACAGACGAGATTATAATTAATATGTTTTGTGAAACAAACAACAAATCTGTCCGTAGGTAGTAACCCATCCTTCATTTGTTTTTACTTTCTCATTTGTATTTCTCTGTGTTCACTTTGTACCAATACGATACGCTTTTATGCGGTAGACTGATAACAATTCAATCGATGAACAAAATTATTTCCCCAGCCTTGCTGCCAGGCTCATTTGGGTGCTATCAATCATCTTCTAGATAAAAAAGCTTTCATGCCAATGGACTACCTAAAACCACTGTTATCTGAAGTGTTTTTATCGACTCCCGTCATTCAGTGCATGGATATTGCAGATTGCTGTAGATTGATTGGTAGAAAATTTTCGTTCAAGACTTTTCTTCTTCAGTTGTTTTAGTTTTAGTGTTGCTACTAACTACAGGTTTAAATTTTGGTGAAAGTTCTTGAAGTTTTTCTGTCGTCTTATTTGTGTGGCATTGTGTTTTTCTTCATTAATACTGTGAATTTTATTATTATTCTTTGATTTCATGTTAGTTTTTATATGTATATATGTTTAAAATGTATTGTTTTGAAACTCCTTCCAATTTAATCCACTTTTTTGAATTAATCGTTTCTTTTTTATTTGTACATATACACCAACTTCCTATGGCATGACTTTTTCTGCCGCCATAATTACGTATGTATGTACTTTCAAACTGTCAACATTGTTTTGGATTACAGCAGCAAGATTTTGAAAATTAAATACCGCTTACCAACGTCATGAAGTGAACATTTATGTTGACATGGATTATACAGACTACAATGGGACACATGTGAAAGTTGCTAGGAACTGGTCGTTGAATGATTTTGAAAACGTGAGTACCATTATCCATGCATGTATTTTTAAATACGAACTTACATCGTAAGAGAGCTTGCATGGTTCCGCACATATAGGCCGTCTAGACCGCAGGGGTATCAGGATCTTACAAAAACCAGGTGTTAAGCAATTATTTTTGTTTTTACCAAGTCAGTGAGGTGGGTCAGGCCAGGGTGGCCACTCCAAGCTGAACCAGTCGATTTAATGCAGTACAACGTTCTGCATCGTTCCGCTCCTTTCGATATTTTCAATAAGTTTTAATTATTTTAATTGTTTTACCGTGTTTTGGGCTTAAATATAATTATTATACACACAGTGTCCTTAGTCATGAATATGTTTTCCTCTTCATGTTGAAACAAAGTTCTTTTAATAAAACATTTTTTTTTTCAGTTGGACTTATCACAGTGTAAATTCCCAAACACACTATGGCATGTAAGATCAGCAACAGAAATGGCCATCAAATCGACTCTCATGGTCACCGTAGCAGTTATGGGAATATTTCTGAACTCCATAATACTGATTATCTTGTTCAAGAACAAATGGCTTCGATCTCCGAGCAACTATCTGATAGGCAACTTGGCCTTCACTGATTTGTTGATGCTTGTTCTGTCCCCTTGGTTCATGCTCATTAGAGATTTCCACCAAAAATTCATTTTGCAGAACTTTGGGTGTCGATTTGAAGGATTTATGCAAGGTATGTATAAAACTATTAGGAGTTATTTGTCCCTTCTAATAATTCCAATTTAAAACAGTTGAAACAAAATCCTTTTAGGCTTGACGTTCCGAAATTTTGACATGTTAGGACGAAGAAATAAATGTTAGTAATGGTACCTTTCCAAACTTTTTTTTAACCGACTTCAAAAAAAGGAGGAGGTTCTCAATTCGACTGTATTTTTTTTTAATAACATGCACCCGTTAACACGCAAACTAAACGCCTTTTTTTCAACTGTATGAAATTCTGATGAGTTCGTAGTTCTTCTTCCCCTAAACAGTTTGATCGATGTTTGTGCTTATAAAGCCAACTAGATGAGTTCCTATCCATGGTTAAAGCCAGAAAGTAGCGCTGCCAACATTAGGTTTTTCTTGAATATTTTTAACTAAATTAGAACAAGATTAATCTGACGATTAAGCTAGTTATCTAGTTTAACAAGATTCATGATGAATATGCTCTAATTTGGTATTTTATTTTTGAGTTATTTTTCTTTCTTTGTAGCTACATTATTACTTGCAAGTGTAAGCGCAGTCATGTTGGTGTCCTACGATCGTTTAGCTGCAGCCGCCTTAACCACTGAAGCCAGGGTTACTATGAAAGTAGCCCCGAAACTTGTGATAGCGTCGTGGCTCTTATCAATGGTTTTATCTATACCCTGGATTGTTAAGAGAACTTATGTAGTAAGTTTAGATTACATATTTTCAAATTAGATTTTGATCCTATTATAGCTCAAGGAGAAAGCACCTGCGCCTTACAACGGCACTGCGTTAGAGAATCATCAGAACTTCAGAGTCGGGCGTGCATTTATGGCTCAGCTCAAATATTTATTTATTAGTCTTTCATTAATCATTATCATCAACAGCTTTTCTTAGTCCAGTGATTGATACCCTCTCCTTAGAAAGGAGGTTTTGGCATACTATACCACGCTGGCCAGGCGGGTTCAAGTTTTCCTTCCCTTTACAGTGCTGTTGTCCTGTGTAGTTTGCTCCCTTAGTCGGATCTTGCGATACGGATGAATAGGGGTGGGGACACTCCGTATTTTTAATCCATCCGTCACCACATGGAAAATATTCGATAGTATTCGGATATTAGTATTTACATAATATGTGTCCATTTACAAAATGTAACTAAATTCTAATTCAATACCTTGACTTCATGCGTTTTGATTGATCCCCAATAATTGAAAACCGTACACAAAATTATTGCAATAATGGGTAACCTTGTCAAATGTAAAGTTATAACAAATGTTCAGATATCTCGGTACAACAGATAAAACCGTATTGTGTCGATTTGTAACCCCGCATTTTCAAATGCTTTAGCTGTCAAATCAGGCTAAGAGGGATAGTATTGCTGAAGGAGACGCTAGAAGGGGACTAAAACCGAAACCGATACCCCATGCGATAATCACGCTTCAGTAGGCAACCTCAACTAAACTCAGTGTCATATAAATATGGATATCTCCAAATTGGGTATTTTCATACAGGAAGGTCGTAGGGAATAATTTATGCTACCTTAATATATTTATTTACAGGAACGTCAATGGTTGGACTATCTAGAAACATTTTGCGCAGAAGATGTTCAAGTGTTGGGTATTTACTGGCACTTTTTGCTGACTTTGCTGGTATGGATCCCACTTGCCGCTATGGTTGTTACTGTAAGTGATTTTTCATTTAAATTCTAAGAGAGAACCAGAACTTTATAATTAATTTTAAACAAACACATTTATAAATGTATACTATTCGTAGCAGAATCTTATAAACTAATAATAATAATAATAATCTTTATTGTTATAAATAACCTTTAACAGTTTTCTTATATATATATACACATAAACGTACAAGCATCTTAACAATTAAAGGTCACACCAATAGAGTAACCCTAAGGTTAGAAATATAATGCGGTGTGTGTGTGTGTGTATGGCTGCGTGTGTATGAGGGTGTGTGTGTGTGTGTATGTGTGCGGGGGCGTGTGTGTGTACGTGTGCGTGTATGCGAGCATGAGTATGTAGGTGTGGGCATATGCTTACTGCTGGAGTTGAAGTAGTCCTTCAGTTTGTACATAGTCTAGGGTTTGTAAAAATGCCATTGTTTTATTTTTCACTTCGCGAGGAGTTAAGCCACTAATAGGAATAGCTTTATATATTTTTTTGTAAATAAAAATACTATTGACATAAAATTGTCGACCGGCGAATGCAGTTTTGTGGTTTTCCACACTGCATAAAACTCTTCTTGTACGCTTTGTGTGATCTGGTGGGGGAACTTGAGTATGTTTCTTAAGGGTTGCTTGGAGCACAAATAGTTTTCTGACGGAGAGAAATTTGCTATCTGCATATAATCAATGAGTCGGATACCGAAATGGTTTACCAAGGATTACCTTCAGGACCGCTCTTTGTGCTCTCTCTATTTGAATGAACTTGGTTTTGGCGGCTCCACCCCACACTGGTATGCAGTAAGTAATAACGGATTGGCAGATCGCTAGGTATATCATTCTCATAGTATCCATATCTGCGTAGTATCTAAGAGATTTGAAAATATACACAAGTTTCCTAATTTTTAAAACGGTACTGTCAATATGATCATACCATTTCAATCCGCTATCAATCACTACACCCAGATACTTTATATGATTTACACAGGTAAGTGCCTCACACGAGCAGTGGACAGGATCAGAGCATGTATGAACCCTTATCATAAAGTCTGTTGCAATTTTATTCCTATTGTTAATGCAGAAAGGCATAAAGTTTGTCTTACTTACATTCAGGGTTAACAGATTTAGGCAAAGCCAGTGTGCAACAGTTTGCAAGGACTTCTCTGCAGTGGTTCTGACCTCTGTCCACGTATCACCATAGACAACAATCGCGGTATCATCTGCATAAGTAAGGATATTTGACTTTCGCAACGGCAGAAGACATAGGTCATTAATATAAATTTGAAAGAGTGATAATTACTGAAAGTAGACTTCGCCTATTAAACCAGTTCCGACTGTAATTAGTTAATGTGTTTTGTTTTATTTCACTTACCTGTATTATTTGAACTGCTATTTTAATATACACTTTCCATACCATGACGGGTCAATGTACTGAATGGAACACTGTAGCTTTTAGCACCTCCACCTTCAACAGCATTTAAACTCTTGCACGCAAAAATTTATCTTGCGTGCCTAAAATTGCTTTAAAATGGGTAGGTACAAAGAATTATTCGCATAAGTACAAAAATTGAAAACCATCTAACAAATACAATATTTTTTACAAAGCTATTAATATCTATTGTTTCACTATTAAATAATCTTTTTAAATCGTATGCAACAAAAATAAATGACTATAATAATGCGGACGTTATCAATCCATGAATTAGATTTGTGTATGAACACACAAATCAGAGTGAAGTGAAAGACAATACCACTTCTTTATTCACCTATGTACCTTTAAGATTAATTTTCTTTAAATATCTCTAGTGATAAGATATAGATACGACACGATTAAGACCCTGTTAAGTTGAAACACTTAATATTATTATTGTCTTCACGAGTTCTTATCTGGTTCACAGGGCTTTGGACACCTACGGCCCCGGCAAAAGACTTAGAGGTGTTTAGTTGTGTGAGGTTTTAATCTGTTTAAGTCCGGTTTATTACCTTACCGTTAGGCAATGGTGCGGTGATACCCTATTTCACACAAAAAACCTTTACATAATAGACTTTTCTATTGTACAGTACGGCGCAATAATGTGGCAATTAGAACGGAGTAGTCGTGAGCTGTCCTCTCGAGGTGGAGGGCGTTCTATTGCCAAAGCCAAGAGTCGAGCAATGAGAATCACCGCATTTATTCTGGCAGTAGCTGTTCTATGTCGAGTGCCATACACTGTTCTAATTTACTGGAAAAAGAATTTGAATCCTGAAATCAACGCGGTAAGTATACAGTGTATAATGAACATCAAAAATTTACTTTGGATGATATTTATCATAATTCTTACTTAAATACTATAAATCGGAAAGTCAGTTTTTTTTCTTCCTTTATCAATCGATAATCACAAATTTTGCAAACACGTTGGGAAGAATATCAAAAAGGAGAAAGGGTAGGTTGCTTCGGGGAGTACCTGAATCGTATCGGACGCGAGGAGACGGCACAATGCCAGCACTGTGCAGCCGACTGGGACTCCGCCCAGCTCCAGGTGGAAGACCGCCCCGCGTGTTCGTCTGAACGCGAGCTCCTGGTCGACCTGTCGAATCGGAACTCCGTCCTGTCCCCGCCAGCAATCAATGCTGCCATGCTGGCGGGTGAGGAGGGATGGGCCACAGTGGTCTCTTTCTGTGAACCTGTAATGCTCAAGAAAGAGACCGCTGAACGGGATCGGGAGAGGGCCGATCCCGACCGTAGAGGACGTCGTCAACGATACCAGCCGCCGACGGGGCCGCAGGCCGCCAGAGATTGGGGACCTCTGGTGGCAAATTGAATACTGCGGTAGAGGATAGGATGGCGGCCTAATTGCATTAAGATGAAATTGGGCCGCCACATCGCGATCGCGGCCTGATTAGGCATGGTGTCAATTCGGGGAGGACCTGAAATAACATGGTCCATGTCCTCCCAGAGTAGGGCACCTGAAGCTGGCCGGCGGGGTGGTTTTTATTGGAATCACCACATACTCCTGAGTCCCTGAGGAGCAGGAGAGACGAAGGGATTTTCCACCCCATCAACCAAAAGTTACTTTTAATTAATTAATTATTTATAGATGAGACGAGAAGGCTAGGACGTATTGGTGAATTTCTTAAATACAGTTGCTTAAATCAGCTCTACTAATTTGTTGTTATTTTATACTCTTTTCACAGGTAGACGGCAGCTTCAACATAATGTGGTTTGCGGCAAATTACATGATGTATTTGAACAGCGCTGTAAATCCACTTATTTATGGATTTACTAATTTGAGATTTAGGAAAGCAATGGACAGAACTCGCGGAGTTGCCTGGTTTCGGTTTGGAAGTTGGTGCTGCGTGCGTACTATGGTTGGTTTACAGATTTTTTTCTTCAATCATCTCATATTTCTCATAAACTTTGATGCTTTGTTACTTATCGAAGGAATTATCATAATCATAGTAATTATATGAATTGGGGAAAATTCATTCTCTGACAGCAGACCTTTCGGACTTCAAGAAAAAATTGGTTTTAACCAAAAATATAGCTCGTGTGTAAAGAATTAAAAACACAATTATATATAAATCATCATAAGCAATCTTTCTTGTTCTATTTTCAACACTGATGATATCGATTGTGTTATCTTTTTTTTTAACGTATTAGTTTGTTTTTTCCAGTTCACAAGGAGAAAAAAAGAAGTGTTCGACAAGAATACGGACAAAATCTTCGTCATAGAGAACTCACCACGTCAAAACAGGCAACTTTCACGTGTAATCAAGAATATTTTGCACATTAACATGGATTCTGTAGAGTTCACCATTAAAGCAGATGAAGTTACTGCTAAGCCTACCAAAGTGACTCCTTTATAAACTGAACATATCTGAAGTCTATCCATTGTGGCCATAGTTTTTAGAATTTTAGGTATCTCTTGTAATCTTCTTGTAACGTATTTTATTATTGTATAAAATAAAAGTAAAAAATACACGGTATTAAGTCCACCTCGTGCAAATTGTAATGCAGGAAGTGTACAAATAAATAAAAATACAAGAAATGAATTAATTTACTTAAAAAAATTAAATCTATTTTGATTTTCTGTTTCAAGACTAATTTTTATGGACACGGAATTCGAACTGGTTAGACAATAGCTAATTTCAGTTACTAGTATGCGACTCTGAGCTGCTGATATAATGCTTACGTTCCTCAATCCATTAGCCATCAACCAAGCCATTGCCTTCCTATTTTATCTACCTTTTCTTACATAATCATCATTATCAACAGTCTGTAACAGCCCACTGCGGGACACAGGTCTCTATATAGGAGATTTCGGCCTATTATGGCTGACCAGACGGGTTGGTATAGGGTTTGTGTTAAGGTTTCCTTCTCTTTGTAGTGTTGTTATCCTGCGTACTTTGCTCCCTTAGTCGGCTCTTACGACATCCACAGGATCCAGAGGAGTGGTGACACTCCGTATTTTTAATCCGTCACCACACGGAATTGATGACTCAATTGATCGGCACCATATTGTAGCAATTTTCAACCAATAGTTAGTATCATTTTTCTCAGGATAGTTGTTGATCTATTTAATCCTTGAGCAGTTTATATTTTATTACGAGATAAAAATACAATAAAGCAAATAGATTTTATACCGTCTTTAATCGCCAACAACAATGTTGATAATATTAACGAACAAATACAATTTGATTACAATTTAATAAGAGCATTTTTTCATCAGCGACGATTCACCATATAGCTGTAGGTACATTATTTCATTCTTCTATATTTTGATTCCTCACCACTTATTACCATTTAGAACATAATGTCTATTTATTTTCGGGTTCCGTTGCGTCTAGAAGGCTGGTCAATTCCTGTATTTTTCCTTCTAAGATATCATTAATGTGTGGCTCCACTCTCAGTATATTTGTTGCTTCTTGTAACAGCACCAAACTTTCCATTAACTCAACCTAAAACAACATTAAAATATTCCAAGTAAATCTTATTTTCATAATTAATTTTCGAAATTCATTCTCTTCAGAATAGCTTCAGAATAACATGAAATGCCATTCATCATAAAATAATTTAAGCTCTACTATAAAAAATCCTGGGGCGTGTCTTAAACACTGTAACTCATTCTTAGATATTCATTCCCAGAGCTAGCGACCCTTAACGCTTTTTTTCAACGGTGAAATGGGACCTAAAAAATAAGACTACTACTCGTTGTTTTAAAACACTATTACATCAACAGCCTTTAATAGTCCACTGCTGAACATATGCCACTCCTTAGTAATAAGGTTTTGCCCTACTATACACAAAATTAATTGCTTAGAAATACATTAGTATCTTCATAAAACATTTATAGTAGACCAATACCAGGCATGATTTACATTTTGCATATTTGAAAATAAAAAAAGATACAAAACGTGTTTAAGAAACTACGATATTTCAATGAATAACAATAGTAACAGCTGCTATTTTAGTATGAGTTTCCTATTACACATATTTATTCAGTACCAGTAAAAATATAGGTCTTGGTACATCAGAGATACCAGGAATATTGGCACACTTCCAATTAACGTACAATGTAATGAGAGATACAAGTGTTGGAATTTCTATTAGTGGTACTACAATGGGGAGGACTATTTAAAATTCGTCAAGAATGCGTGGAAGAATACAATCTGTGTAAGTAGTAATCTGTCAAAGTAAGTAATTCTATTTCACTTATTAATATTTTTACCACAGTGACTGCTCGGATGGCGTAGTGGTTTATGAGGTTGCCACGCCGCTTACTACTACGCTGAGTGTTGTGGGTTCGATCCCCACATGGGACGACACTTTGTGTAATTCACAAATTGTTGTTCTGAGTCTGGGTGTTCCTTGTGTCCGTTTCATGTATGTTTGTAAAGTCCCCCGCGACACAGGATATATTCCTAGTGCGGTAGTTATCTTTTCACATGAGTGATTCTACCATAAATAAAAATATAATCGATCTCTAAATCAAGGTTGTAGTAAATACGCAGTTACAACCTAATTTTAATAAATTAATTAAAACAAGAGAAGAACATGAAAATCACTAAATGTTGTAATTCACCTGTTTAGTGAACAAAATAAGAACAATCGATTAAGCTATGAGAGACGATATCATTAGGCAACCGCTGCTTGACATGTCCGTTTTTTAATCTTTCTGTCAAATCTGTCAACTGTCAATCTAGGTAAGATTCATCATATTTAGGTTGAACGCAGTCAATAATGATAATATGTTTTGACCAACCACGTTTCTAGATGAAATGTTTATGGGGGAAAGTATGATGAAAATAATGGATTAAACCTGTCAAGATACCATTATTACCGTAATAATGAAAAAAAAACTATTAAAATCAGATAAAGACCAATTAGGATCTGAAACTAATTGTAAAACTTGGTACCATTTTTCACCAACTTGAACATACATACATAAAATATATAGCATTCCTGATATATTAACTTTGGAATAAAACCGAATTTTCTTATCGAATCCGGCGCCTTGTATGAAAGTTATTTACAGTAGAAAATGCTCTTGAGGTACGATAATAAGCAAGCGGCGGGTAATAATCTCTTGGTATGTCAAAATATAAAAATAACTTCACACATCTCACACACGGCTGTCTGATCCCAAACTAGGCAGAACCTGTACTATGGTAAACAAACTACTGATCATCATCATGGGGTGTCATCCTCAAAATGAAGTTTGGAGGTCAGCAGACGGTACACCCCTCGATCATGAGCGGCCTCCTTTAGGTGGCGATATCGCAGTCCGGTCCAGGCCACGATGTCATCTATCCACTTCCTTCGTGGTCGACCTGGTGGCCTCCTGCCTGGTATTTTTCCTTCTAACAGAAGCCTCAGGAATTCATGTTGCGGGCCCCTTTGTATGTGTCCAAAGAAGGCCACCTTCCTTTTCGCTATAACCGCCATCAGTTCTCTCCTGCACTTGGCTCGCTCCAGCACCTCTACGTTGGATGTAAAACTAGTCCACGGGATTTTAAACATCTTCCGCAATAACCACATCTCGAAGGCTTGCAGTCGGTTACATATTTCTTTCCTTAAGACCCACGTCTCACACCCATACAACAGTGTGGACCAAACGTAGCATTTCATGACGCGGTGCCTCAAAGGAAATGGGATTTTTGGGTCGCATAAAACCTTAGATATCTTGAAGAAAGCAGTCTTAGCTTGTCCTATTCGACATTTCACCTCTTCCAAATGGTCTAGGTCATTCGTAAAGTATCGGCCAAGATATTTAAACCCACCAACGCCTGCCACATCTACCCCCCGAAGCTTTATATTTGGAGTGGGCATCATTGTCTTCGCTATAACCATGGTCTTCGTTTTATGAACATTAATTGACAAACCCATAGCTTCTCCCGCAGTTGCTACTTCATCTAATAAAGTTTGCAGTCCGGCTTCTGAGTTTGCGATAAGCACTGTGTCATCTGCATATCTTATATTATTGACCAGCAGTCCATTGACGCGTATTTCCTCTCTTTTATCGCGTAGTAACTCTGTAAGGATATCCTCTGAATATAGGTTGAAAAGAAGAGGGGAAAGTATGCACCCCTGTCTGACACCTCTAGCTATCGGTTTCCAGTCTGACAACATCCCTTCGATCCGGACTGCTGCTTCTTGTTTCCAGTAGAGGTTGCCAATAATTCTGAGATCCTTTCCATCTAATCCCTTCCTTTTCAGAACTTCCATAAGCTTAGAGTGCTGGACGCGATCGAATGCTTTCTCATAGTCTATGAAGCACAGATACACTTCTTGCTGGTGTTCGAGTGCTCGCTCTGCCAATGTGTTGACGGCAAATATAGCCTCCCTTGTGCCCATGCCGGCTCTAAAACCGAATTGTTGCGGACATAAGGTATCCGTGCACTTGTTCTTGATTCGGTTATAGATAATTCTCAGCAACACTTTCATGGTATGACTCATCAAGCTTATCGTACGGTGATCTGAGCACTTGACCGCTCTTGGTTTTTTGGGAATTGTGACAAAAGTGGAGCGTAGAAAGTCATTTGGAATCACGCCCGTATCATAGATTTTGTTGAACAGGGATACCATGCTGGCTTTGGTCTTATTTCCCATGTGTAGTAGCAGTTCCACTGGTATCTTGTCCTCGCCCGCAACCTTTCCCGTCTTTATTCCATTCAAAGCGTAGTCAAGTTCTTCCAGGAGTATAGGTGGTCCCGTCATGACATTGTCCACTTCTTGGTCGGGTCTGATGTCTTGAAAGAGTTCGGTTATATACTCTTCCCACCTCCGTAAACGGTCCTCTGTTTTAAGGAGAAGTTTCCCATTTGAGTCCACGATGGCGTGAGGGGCCGAGGGTTGGTTGCCCATAGACATAGTTTTCAGAGCCTTATGCAACTCACCATGTTGATGTGTAGATTGCAAATATTCCATCCTTTGACACTGGTCTCGCAGTTCATTCTCTTTTGCTTCACGGATTTTGATTTGAAGTTGGTCATTGAGCTGTCGATATTCTTCAGGATTTAGTTTACTTTCTCTTCTTTTGTCCAATAGGTCTAAAATCTCATTAGTGATCCAGTGTTGCCTTCTCTTCCATACCCTGTACCCAAGTACTTCCGTTGCCGCTTTTGTAAGAGCTGTTTTAATATTTCCCCAATGCGATTCCTCACTTAATGTTATATCCATCTTAATAATTTCGTCAGTTTTTTCCAAAAAGTGTTGTACAACTTCCTCGTCTTTGAATCTCTGGACATTCAAAACTTTGTTAGGCTTTGCTTTTTGTACGCGTTTAGGTTTCAGCCTTATCTTACTTGCTACAGGATTGTGGTCTGACTCTATGTCTGCACCCGGGTACGTTTTAACACTAGTTACTGCGTTGCGGTATCTGTAGTTGGCACAGATATAATCAATTTGGTTCCTTACAATCTTGTCACATGTGTGGGCTGGAGACTGCCACGTATAAAGCCGCCTTTTCGGTAGGTCAAACCAAGTGTTCATAATAGTCAGAGAGTACTCCGTACAGAACTCTATGAGTCGGTCGCCCCTATCATTCCTGGTTCCGAGTCCATGCGGGGCAACAATGTTGTGTTCCGGAGTATCCCCAACTTTGGCATTAAAGTCCCCCATAACCATTATAAGCTCATGCTTTTTTACCAATTTCAGTACCGCATCCAAGTCTTTGTAGAAGTTTTCACACTCAGCTTCAGTGCTTTCAGAAGTAGGTGCGTATACCTGGATAAGGTTGGTTTTTATAGGCTTGGTGTTTAGCTGTAGCAACATTACTCTATCGGACCGTGGAACATATCCTGTCACGCACTCTCTCACTTCCCTCGTCACTATGAACCCAAACCCAAACCTATGCTTCTGTCCGCCGGAATAATAAAAATGTGTGCTGTCGTAAGATGGAATATCCCAGCACTCGATACATCTCACTTCGCTCACTCCAAGAATGTCCCAGCGGTACCTCCTCATTTCCCTTACTGCGTTTTCCAGCTTTCCATCTTTGTAAAGAGTTTTCACATTCCAAGTCGTAACCTTTAACTCGCCATGGTCGTCGTTTAATCGTATGCCCCGCCCGGGGATTATTACCCTCTTTTGCCGGGCACTGAGGGATTCTTTATTTTGTACCTTCATGCTGATATACTTGGGATTTTAATTGCAGTGGTTTCCCGTTGCCTTCTGCATCAGGTCTTTTTGGGGGTATTTACTCCCCCAAGGCCGCTGAAGCCTCTTCTGACCGGTGTGTTAGCCAGGAGTGTGGTTATACCGCCACTGCTCGGTCGTCAGAGCCCCGTCGGTTATCTAGCAGGGAGCACCACGGGGACCTATTGGTCACCGCCGTCCGTTGACGCGTGCAGGAGGGGTTGACATTTGGGTCGGATACGATGGTAGTTCCGTCCCCCTTACCCCCCCTGATAAACATACTTATATATTTCTGAATGCATATATATCATAGATAAATTACACCCAGACACAGAACGAATGATCGTGCTAATCACACAATTATTTGTCCTGAGTGGAATCGAACCCACGACCTCCGGCCACTAACGACTAGACCAACAGGCCCGTCGTATATAATATTTCGTGAAATACCAGGTTGAATATGAATTCGAAGGATATTTTGTAATATGAATACTAAAAAACTGTGTCAGTGCTATCAGCGATAACTAATATCTATTGGTTGGGACTCATGCTTGAATTAGGTCATGTTAGTATATTAATAATGTATGCTATTCACAATGTTATTAAGTTTAACAATAAAGTAATATTTTACAGAGCACAGATAACCACCTGCCATAAAAAGAATATGGCCTTGCACACATCTGAGTTTTTGTAATTTATGTGCATATTAGAAAATATAACTGTTAAAGGAAAATATATCGCGAGTAATTATGCATCTCTTGTATTTTTTTCATAAGTGCGTGAAATCTGTTTATTCGTCCAAACCAGCATGCTAATGTAGCAGGTATTTTTTGGTATCATTATATTTATGTTATCAAAACTATGTAACTAGTCACGGATACAATAACAAAACTACCACTCCTAGACTCCCAATTCTCCGATTAACCCTTTAAAAAAGAATGTATCTCGAGTCTCAATGTATATCGAATTCTTGTATTATTGGTGAATGTCTTTATTTTATCTCAATGCCTCATCGAATGATATGTAGGTAGGTATTAAATTTTACTGTTCAAAAATTCTGAATAGTACAAAGAAATCCCGAAATGTGTCGGTAGATGATAATTAGCTCGTCTTCAAACGCGTGGGACTAGTAGTAGGAAATAAGTAATACATTTTTTGCTTCTTCTTAGCTATTGGAGGCATAAAAGCGCATAAGCAATATACATCTTAAGATGTATATTTTCTCTAAGACATGGTTTTAAACTTCTTTAACTGTCTGTATCTTCTTGATTTTTTTGAAGACAATGATGATTAAACACCATGTACTTTAAAAGGACTTACCTCCTAAGAGGTACATTTTTCAAAGAGCTAGAAAATACAGGGGTATGTGTCACTTATTTAATCTTACCTGTGCCCCAGCCTTTGTTATTTTTCCTGTTTCAAACTCTCTCTTTGTTTGTATCGTCATTGCAGCTTGGAGATCCAGCAGTATCTCCCCTCTAAATTTTGACATTCCTGGTTCTAATTTATCAGCAATCTCTAGTAATTCATGGCAAAGGTCAATTTTTCTCTTAAGAAGATTCTCAGGTAGTTCTAAAAAGTAAATTTAATATAAGTTCTAATTGTGCAGGTTGTAAACAAACATCAATTACATCTGAGTTGAATCCTTGCTAATGTACGTAAAACAAATTAATATTTATATCTTATAAGCGAGCAAAATAATTGTTCCACCGTAGGCAAACCTTATTTTGTAGAAGATCTTCACATGAAGATGGAACTGATTATAATAATTTTTCTGACAAAAATGCTCTCTGCCTCTGTTCAATTTACTTCTTTTGACAAAATACTCTTACTACCCTCTACATGATAATAATATGATTGATCTGTGTAAGTCTCTCTACACACTAAGAACCCTATTATTCAGATTATTAGGATAGGCTCTTAAATTAATAAATATTTAATCTAAAATCTATTAAAAATAAATAATATTTCGATGTCGCCTTCGTCATTATTAAACGTACTTAGTTATATAAAATTCTAGGATCGGATCGAAAAAAAATATTTTTTAATTAAATAATATTATGATATTTAAAATATTTGTAATACTTAAATAGCTTAGCAAAACTTTTATGTAAATAATCTTTATAAATATCTATCATGAAAAGATGACCTTGTATTATCAGATATACAGAAAATTTAGGTTAGTGCAAAATAATTAGAATGACTTTTAGATACGTTGTTTACATTTTCCTAATATAATGGAGGTTATAATCACGATGTTCGTATATAACAATATATGATCCGAAACTAGACAGAGTCTGTACTATAGTAACTAAACCACAGATACTTAAATAATTCTAAATACATACATAGTACAGATAAATTACACCCAGGCACTGAACAAATGATCGTACTCATAAGTGTCTATTTTTTTTAATTATAAGAACTGTGCCGTTACTGTACCTGTCAAACCATATCCTTTCTGGTAAAACAAATTAATATTTATATCTTACAAGCTAGCAAAATAATTGTTCAACCGTAGGCAAACCTAATTTTGTAGAAGATCTTCACATGAAGATGAAACTGATTATAATATTTTTTCTGACAAAAATGCTCTCTGCCTCTGTTCAATTTACTTCTCTTGACAAAATACTCTTACTACCCTCTACATGATAATAATATGATTGATCTGTGTAAGTCTCTCTATACACTAAGAACCCTATTATTCAGATTATTAGGATAGGCTCTTAAATTAATAAATATTTAATCTAAAATCTATTAAAAATAAATAATATTTCGATGTCGCCTTCGTCATTATTAAACGTACTTAGTTTGGATAAAATTCTAGGATCGGATCGAAAAAAAAAATTGTAAAGGACAATTTTGGATGACATTTTTGATTAAATAATATTATGATATTTAAAATATTTGTAATACTTAAATAGCTTAGCAAAACTTTTATGTAAATAATCTTTATAAATATCTATCATGAAAAGATGACCTTGTATTATCAGATATACAGAAAATTTAAGTTAGTGTAAAATAATTAGAATGACTTTTAGATACGTTGTTTACATTTTCCTAATATAATGGAGGTTACAATCACGATGTTTGTATATATAACAATATATGATCCGAAACTAGACAGTCTGTACTATAGTAACTAAACCACAGATACTTAAATAATTCTAAATAAATACATAGTACAGATAAATTACACCCAGGCACAGAACAAATGATCGTACTCATAAGTGTCTATTTTTTTAAATTAAAAGAACTGTGCCGTTACTGTACCTGTCAAACCATATCCTTTCTGGTTTCCATATATTTGTACCAATGCCAATTTTGCCTGTACAACCAAATGGTTGCTAGGATGTAACGTTTGACTATACTTTTCAATAAAATCTTCATAATTCTTTGGATCAGTCTTGTTAAGCTTATAAAGATCTTGTTTTAAAGCATTATTACCCCAAAACATTTGCTTGGCTAATATAGTATGTTCACATTTCTCACATTTCCAAGGTGCATTTTCATCCATCGGATTTGTTGAATGCAGCATTGCACCACGCCATTGACTTGTTTGACTGAATGGATTGTTACATACGGAACAATAGATATTGCCGAGATTTGTGCCAAATTCTGTTGGATCTTTGCATCTATCGCATTCACATGCAAAAAATTTATTCGTCATCAAATACTTTCGCCTGTCCAATGTTCCCCAAAGCGATTGACAATATGTTGCCGTAATTAAATCCCCTTTAGTTATGGGCACTGTTGCTATCAGAGCTAAATGAAAATGATCACCCAAAAAAACATGCTTCGTGTTGGGTTTGCAACTATGGTCGACCATAGAAGCTGTTAAATATATAGCTCGTAATCTTTTTGTTCCATCTGGTGAACGCACATCAAATGAGTTTGTGTCAAATATAGATGCAACCTTCAATATAGTTTCTTCGTCGAATGGTAATCCGAGAACGTGCACTATAAAAGTCACTAAATTTGCTTTCAAAACCGTGTACAGGGAAGTATTTACTCTATCTTCTAAATGAGATTCGAGATTCATAATGCTTTCAAATTGAAGAGGGTTTGAATAGCGCATTAATAAAACCCTCATAGGCGATATCACGCAGTAAGCAGCTTGCACTTTATTGGAACCTATATATTTTATATCACATTTATACTTTCTTTCAGTCATGGCCTTACACTCTGGCTTATGAACCTCGGCATTTTCACATTCTGGTCCGCACATTGGCCAGTTGCACTTAGAACATTTATAATAATCAAAATTATCTTGAAATTGATTCGGATCCAAGTATTTCCCACACGATAAACAGACAGTCGTGCACGCAATCCTTGGACCTATAACCGCTGGTTTTTCTTTTAGAATCATTTCGCCTTGTTTAATATCTCTTGTTGCTATCATATGACGCCCTAAGGTATCTGAGTATTCGATTTTGAAGGCACAGCATTTAAATTTGTGTCCTTCGCGCCATCCTAGTTTCTGGTGAGGCCTGGAGCAATAGTAAACAAGCTTGCAGCCACCACAGATTTGGTTTGCGGGCTGTTGGCACACATCACAAGTTGGCATTTTGCGCCTGGACTGCTGCTTATTGCAGCGCCGCGTATTAGGTCGCGAAACACACCCGCACGATGCAAACACAATACTCGTTCTAAATAGATATGGATAATTATCAAGACATTAAAGAGCACGCACAGCAAGACAGCGGGAGCAGTGCCAACAGAATGAAGTACTAATGTTACTTGCAAATGCTAAGCTCTTTTGTTCAGCAAATGGGTACAGCCGTCGTCAATTATTTCGGTTTAATATCAGCAGTTTTATTTCATTTCTTAGAGGAATAAAATATTGATGATGATGTTCAATTCTTTTATAATAATGTAATAATGGTACCATTACCATTATTACATTATTATGGTTCCATAACCATTATATGCAAAGGTAAACTACACGGACAATATGCAAAGTATGTTTCAATTACAATTAAAGTAGTACTTTTCATTTACAATTAAAAGTAGCGTAGTTTTAATGGAGAAGATTAATCTAAAATGAACAATGTTTTCCTAAGGAACCGAAGCATACGCCTTGTATTAAATCGTGTATGGTATTTCTTCTGGAAGTAGACAGCGTGCCTTATGCCTGCTGCAGTCAAGTCATCTTGAAGCAGTTCTTTTTGATAATGATTTTGAAAGAATGTGTTCTGCTATATATTATATTGCTTACGTCAATTATTGTTCCAATTATTATGTCAAACAAATATTGTGTGTAAATCTCGTTAATTCCAAATAATTTAGTATTATTTCAACTCTTGTATACGTATGTAAACATAAATCCTTTTTGTGTAGCATTTTTATGATCTGAACAATGCGATTTGTATGCTGCGAATACTAGTCGTGAAATTTAGGAAACTGAAATACTACTTATTTGTTAAATATTGCTGGATTGTTGAAAAATACAAGTTAGGGACTGTGATGGCTTTTGTAATGTTAAACAATAAATGATTTGCCTAATATATTTCACCATCGCATTAGTGCCATTTTAAAATTCTACACAAACGTTTGTTTCAGTAACTGAAGTCATCCAGGACAAGGAATTACACATTATATAATAAAAACAATAAGTCATTGATCATACCTAGGATAGTGCCATGACTAGCTCCTAAAAAAGTCCTAGTTGAATTACTCAAATAAATTCTTGAGATACATAGCTACCATACATACAATACTGCCAGTATTCCTGACATGGCAGGAAAAGGTGCTTGCCAAGGATAATTTGATTATACTCATGTAAATTGATCATCATCTCAGCCAAAAGCCGTCCACTGCTGAACGTAGGCCTTCCCCAAGGTTCACCGCAACAACCAGTCTTGTGCAGCCCACATCTTTTAATTATTTATTTGTTTAATATATCTCACACACGGCCGTCTGATCCCAAACTAGGCAGACTATGGTACCAGACTTCTGATAAACATACTTATATATTTTTAAATAGATACATATTATAGATAAATTACACCCAGACACAGAACAAATGACCGTGCTCATCATACAATATTTGTCATGGGTGGGAATCGAATCCACGACCTCCGGTTTAGCAGTCAGGGTCACTAAACCAACAGGCCCGTCAAACTAGATCTAACGGTTTCCCGCTACCTTCACCAGGTAATTGGCCCACCTTGCAAGGGGCCTACCCCACGGTCCGTATTTCGATATGCGGTCGCCACTCAAGAACTTTTTGGTCCCATGGACCATCTTTTCTGCGAGCAATGTGCCTCGGTCACTGCCACTTACCTCTGACGATTCTCTGTGCAATATCGATGACTTTGGTTCGTCTGCAGATCTCCCCATAAATTATTCGATTACGTAGAAAAACGCTAAGCCTTACCCTCTTCATCTCCACTCATTTAAAAAGGCAAGCCTTTGCCAGCTATCGGGTGCTTTTGGAAATTAAAGCACAAAGATGTGATGCTAACAGTCCTATAGCCACTCTAAACAGTCCTGAAAGAAATGCATCATCACCTGCATCATTTTCAGTCTAACTAAATAGTTGGCAAAGTTAATGTCGGCAATCGGCCCTACTAATCCCGATAAATATATTTCTTTGAAGCAGTTTTAATGAAATTTGGCATGGAGATACTTTGATTCTTGAGGAAGGACAGCTTTTTCCGCGTTAAGTTCAATAACGCGGATATCGGTTAATTTTAAATGTTTGTATTATTTCATTTACTTTTCAACTTCTTACATAAGTGTAGTCTACCTAAATACTCATTTCTATACTATACTACCCTAAGGAAGACTGGCAGAGAATGCCTATGGCATTGTACATTTTTGTGTATAAAGTGTTAATAAATGAAAATAAAGAAATTTGTATTCCTAAATAAATTTATTTATAGACTTCATAGATCATCTTATTTTTAATTATTTCTTAAGTTGTCGTAAACTATTTGGATTCATGTCATATAGACACATTATGCTATACCGGCACGATAAGAGTAAAAAAATAAATTTATTACTAAAACGATTTTACAATTAGATGCTCATTACAACTTTGCGTAAATCCAATGAGAAAATTTCTATGGAACGTTTTCCTTTCATTACGTCCAGGCCAATGCCTTTTTTAGTTCATTCATAATATCCGCATGTTACGCAACCTGCGGCTAAACTCAGTCCTTCACAGTGAGATCGGGAGCTGTGCGCGCGGTCGCTCTTAAACTGACGTTTAAATATAAAAAAAAGAAACCATACATATCTGTGACCTTTAACTGATTTTTTTCAATCTGTTGTGATTTTTGTGACGTTTGTTCTTTTGGAAGCTAAACATTTTATTGAAACATTTATGTAAGTTTTTTTGTGTAAATCGGTACTCTATAGGTCCTCTTGAACGTATTTTCTCACATATTCTGTATCGTAATTTTATAAGTAGAAGTAAGTTTGTAACACATTATTTGAAATAAACTGCTCTGAAAAGAGTCTAGCGCATAATTATACTAATATTTACTCGTACACATACTTGTATCCACATCTATAGGCATTAGATTCGCGTCTAGGAATGCTCTATTAACTGCCAAAGTGACGTCACGAAACCCAATAAAGCCAGCCCTCTTTAATGTAATGTGCCTAAAATAGAAACAGATTATTATCCAGATTAAGAGCAATTGGTTTGATAAATTTAGAACGATATTCATTACTTGATATGTACGCATTTCTGAAATTTGTTTAATTAGCTGTGTGGAATCGTATATATATCAAACCGGTATTAATAACGATATCAAAATATGGGTACGTATCTTAGTAGCCATTGACGACGAGGACTGAGTCAATGACGACGTAGATTAAGTGGCCACGTCATCGATTTCCACAGGTGTGATGTATTTTGGATCAATCGCCACGTGCTACCGATATTAATATGATTCCGACATTTGATTTGTAGTGTTGACGGTAAATGAAGTAAGTTAGTGTATTACACTAACTATTGAAATTAAAATAAATCCTAAATTTGTCATACTACTCGATTTTGAAACACACGTGCGATGCTGGGTCCACCCAGATTAGGCAAAAGTTGCCCAAGGGCAGACGCAGCGCCGACCAGCTTTGGAGCAAGCTGTCGGAAGTGCTCGTCGAAGAGCCACCTCCCGTCGAGGATCAAGTCCAGATACTTCTTCTGAGCTTGAACCGGTACGAGGACCGAGTTGACAACGATTGAGACGCCAAAGGGGGACAACGATTGAGACGCCAAAGGGGGACCACGACAGGGCCTATGAAATAAGAGGGCCTCTGTCTTATCAAGGGCCACCCGTAAGCCCAGCGCCTCAATACGCCCGACAACCAGAGAGAATCCCCTGGTGGCCAGCCGCCTCTTAAAAGTTCGCCCCCCGAGTCGTGACCAATGTGTCATCAGCGTAACAAATAATACCCAGTCATACCCTATATTCATGTTCCAACACTTCAGATTACCATCTCGGTCCTCGTACACGACGGTAAACTTCTCTAAATAATCTGCCAGCAGCCGCCTCAGGTACTCTGGCACCCGATGATAGTGGAGGGCTTCCCTGATGCAGCAGAATGGCAGACTATTGAATGTGTTGGCGATGTCCAATGACACCGTCAACAGCACGCTGTCACAGCTCACCGCCTCTTAGGTCACGGACCTCAGGCCCAGCATAGCGCCGACCGTCGAACGCCCCTCTCGAAAACCGAATTGGGCGTCCGACAGATCGGGGCCCATCTCGCAGAGATGCAGACAGAGACAACCCTCTCAAACAATTCCTCCGCCTCGTCCAGCAACACGATGGGTCTGTAGGTCGCGACCGAATCGGCAGGCCATCCCGGTTCCTCAACAGGACCAGCTTCCCGCTCTACTCATGATCATGTCTAACGCAACTTATTAAAACGTATGTAATTTATATGACATGGTTGAATGTTATAATTTTTAATTACCAACAAATTAAATATTTTTATAGCACTAGCAAAAACATTCACTCAAGAACCCCCAAAATTATAAAAAAAACGTTCCTACACACTTTATTCAATACTTTTAATAAATAGAAAAATAATGATCTTTGAAACTCAAGTTTTTTGCTGTCCATCACCGAAATAGACTAGCGTAACCTACTTTCATGAGTTTCGAGGTAAACTGCAGTGATTGCCAAATTTACCTAATACATAGTTAGATATATGATTTTATGTAAATTTGTGAACAAAAGCTGAAGTAAACTGTTTGAATACCTACATAATTTACTTTAGTAATTTGAAAAGTTTGTCGGTAGATCAGTTTTATTTAATTTTAATGGTTTCTATTCAAGGACATATTCCTATCATTTGATGTAAATTATACTACTTACGAGTATGTCAAACAAAATCATTCTCAAATATATGTTTCAAAATTACATATTTAAAAATTAAGCGGGGTTGCATGTGTTGCTCGAGTTATTTTAATATTTTGTTTCAAGCATTGATATAATACTTACATAGATGAGTAAATACCGCCTAAAATCGTTGCTACTGCACATCTGTCCACAGGCATATGCGTAGCAAACGTCAATTCAGTATTCAATGTGGCGTCAACCGAGTTGAACATAGTGACACATGACAGTAACAATCGCCAAAATGGCTAAATGCGTAGTGAAAGAATGCGATTCAAGGTCACAAAACATTAATAAATCATGCGGAATTACTTTTCACGTGTAAGTTTATGGTTTTTGTATTGATAATATCGTAAATAAGGCTATAATTGAAATAAAACACTGATAATTGTAATTTAGAATCAGTGTTACCATTAAAAAATCATTTTGGTTTTCCCACATTAGTGGGAGAATTTATAATTTATGAAATAATATGCTTTATACTGTTTTTAAACATTTTGCCAATAATAATAAAATATAGGAAGAACGGTAGTTGTTAGGGCTGGACCGATCAATTTTTTTAGGGACCCGTTGAACGTTCACTGCCAGCTTGGCAGAAGTGCCAAGCTCGCAGTGCATGAGACTTTTGTACAAAAGTATTAATTCATTGTTTTTCTTAATTTATTATCAATTTTAAATAATAATTGTACAAAATAATAATAATAATAATAATAAAAAATGTTTATTATAAAAATAAAAAATAAAAATAAAAAATAAAAAAGTAAATAAACATAATTTTTTTTTATAAAATATAAATAAAAAAAAAAATTTTTTTTTTTGTTTTTTAAATTATAATAGAATTTGCAATACACCCTGGGGATTATTTATTATCAGTACAAGTTGATCATTCACTTTTATTATTAAATGCTATTATTTTTACATACGTAAAAATAAAATTGTATCATGAAAGTAAAATATCCACACAAACTTATAAAAAAGAGTCTAAAAGACAATTGTATACAAAACTGATGCTTCACAGCGCAGTTTGATTTTACACTGAATATAAACCCTTTTAACCAAATATTTCCAGTTATTTTATTATTTATACCTATTCTATTAAATTCGAAATATATTATTTAGAATATTTAAATTAATTTATTTTAATACAAAATTGTTTTAAAAAAAAATTGTTTCTTAGCTGTTATGGGTAAAATTTCATACTGTAGTCAACACTGGCCCATCATCGTAAAGTTATATCTTTGTCTTTGTCTAATCCGAGCGATGGTATTGTTCTTGTCTCGCGTGTAAATGAGACATAAATATGTTTACTTTCAAATGTTTTGTGGTATCAAAGCTACGTCGTCAAAGTTCAAAAGTGGTTACACTTTTTTCGACGTGTGATAATGAGGTTTGCTTCTCTAGTGTTGTTTTAACTCAATGGTTTCAAGGACATGAACACAGTCATGGATGTGGATATCCGTTCAGTTTAGGTATGAAGGTCATTGTTTCGTATCAGTTACCTATTCTTCCCGCCTAAGGCGCTGAGTATGAAGAATGATGGATCGACGACGACCAGACCCATCTTGGGTCAGACGAGTCAATGCCTATCGGGCGTGGGGGCAGAATGCAATTGCAATTCTCGCTCCCGCGAACATTGCCAAGTAGTGGAACAGCGCAGTGGTTTTTAGTCTTTATGAGTCCGATAGATCCCTTCGCTCTCCTCCCTCCAAATGGGCGAAGGACAGCGGGGATCTTCCACCCCGTTACTAAAAGTTATCACTTTTAGTTTGGTTAAAATTGTAAGGAAAATCTTTACATATGTTACTTGCATGATCTACAATTTTTGTCCTAACTATTTTATAATGAATCTGACCACCACCACCATTAGCCTATAACAGTCCACTGCTGGACATAGGCCTCTCCTTAGAAAGGAGGTTTTGGCCTACTATACCACGCTGGCCAGACGGGTTGGTATAGGGTTTGTTTCAAGTTTTCCTTCTCTTTGCAGTGTTGTTGTCCTGCGTAGTTTGCTCCCTTAGTCGGCTCTTACGACACTCACGGGATGAATAGGGGTGGTGACATTCCGTATTCTTAATCCGTCACTACTGACCGATTATCTGAAAATTAAAAGTCTGCTACTATTATTTGCGGTCTTTGACCTTGGATTATTTTTGTTTTTAAATGTTTCACCGACTTTTTGTATTTGAGTTATAAGTACCTAGCGATTCCAATATTCACAACAATTTTCGGCTCTATGCGAATAATTGCAACCTTGAATGTGTATTTGTCCCGACTGTTTGAAAAACGGACAGAATTACCTTTTTCGAAAATAATGTGTAATATCTAACACCTCACGTGGGTGTCGTAAAAGTCGACTAACGGAGAAAACTACGCAAGACAACAGCGCTGCAAAGAGAAGGTAAACTTGAAACAAATCCTAAATCAACCCGTCGGGCCAGCGTGGTATAGTAGGCCAAAACCTCCCTTCTAAGGAGAGGCCTATGTCCAGCAGTGGACTATCATAGGCTGTTGATTATTTTTTTTATGTTAGATCTACACTTTAAATAAATTACTATCAATCAAGAAAATTCATCATCTGATGATCACTGGTATCACATGTCTGTATCTAATCTAGTTAAGTAAGTTTAGTATAAGTTTGGTAGAGAACTCGACTTTATCCTCACACCTTTTTTTATTGAAAATGCTAACGTGATGTGTGACCATGCTTTGACGTGAGCGTTTTTTTCTCGTGAGTGGATCATTTCTATTCAAAGTGATACAAGTAAAAAAAAAACAATTTCACACTAAATTACTAATCAAATTAGATGTTCTGAGGAGTGTTAATGTCGTATCGAGTCAAGATGGCTGTAAAGCATCTGGTGTTGTGCCAATATAATTATCTATATAAAGTTTACATTATGTGATGTGGCAAAATAGAAATTATGTCAGTGATAACTGAGATTATTTTAAATATTCAACCTACGTAGTGTATACGTATTACGTAGATACATACAATTTGTCATTTACTTACAATTTTATCTAGATATTAGATATGTATTTTTAAATAAATTTGAAATACACAAAGCTTATTCTTACGAAAAAGAAACTTAAAAAGCTATATTTAATTTGAATAAAATTATGCGAAACTGCTACGTAAAGCTATACAGTCTATTATAATAATAAAGTTGGATCTCTCATAGAATAAAAAATCCTACAATGATAGTTCAATACTTTATAATCAGTTAAAAATTATTCACCGAGTATTTTGTTTAGTCAGTCAATAGTAACACAGGTCTCGATACCTTGACATCGATCATTGACCGCTCTTGGCAATAGATAGTCTGTGATTTATTTGCAGAGTATATTTGATGAGATCTAAAAATGTAACGAGCTTGCATTAAACTGTCATCTTACTGCAGCCTATTGCCATCCACTTTTGAATGAAGGCCTCCTTCAAAGAGTGTTGAGCAGTCCACATCCATCCGCTGACAGCCATTTTCCTCAAGTCGTCGGTCAGGTCGGTTTGCCTAGCACATGTCGGCTCCAGCGACCATCAGTCACATACAAATGTACATTGAAAGATAGATACAGAATTATAGAAGCAAAGGATTTAAAGAATAGTCTTTTTATCGTACTCTACAGAGTCCGATAATAATAATAATAACCTCACACATCTGACACAAGGCCGTCACATCCCAAACTTAGCAGATTCGGTACTACTAGACTGCTGATGAACATACTCATATGTTTCTAAATACATCAATGTAATAGATGGTTTATCTATTACATTGATGTATGTAGTTAGACACAGAACAAGGAATCGTGCTCCTCACACAATTATTGCACAACCACTTTAGCAGTTGGAATTACTAACCACCAGACCAACAGACCCAATCCGTGCATTCTGAAGGACCTATCAGTCCTCTTTCACGCTTGTAGGGTGTCGGGCCCCACAGAATATCGGCTGCGCTAGTGGCAGAACATTTTATTTGAAAATATTCACACTTGTCCGATATTATGTCGGCACCGACAAAAAATGTCGGGTGTTTTGCCAGCTCTCTACGCCTGAAAAAAAATGGTGTCGCTTCTCGTTCGCCTATGAGTAAGTGGATATGACGCTGTTCACATTTGTCGGATATCGGGACCGACAACCCTCTCCACAATACCTCTTGTTCCGTACTCCTTTAATACTAATGTAGCCTCTAAATCTTGTATTTTGGTAATTTGTGCTCACTAATATTCGAACCAGTAGAGTGTTGAATGTAGTTATGACATCCTAAAATAATTGAAAACTTTATTTCGTCACTTCTCAATTCTGTTATTAATCTCTGAAATGTTCCCAAACTAAATATTTCCCTCAGACAGCGGACAAGTGGAAACGAGAACTTTAGCGTTTCAGAACATAATAGAACTGTGGAGGAACGGGTGGCATGTCCCTCCAACACAAAGGGAGGATCCTCCGACCAGGCGAGGTGATCATGCCTGGCGGGCCGTGGCCCAACGGTTGATGTTGGGAAGTTGTATATATGCTAATCGGCGAGGGAATTCTTTATATCGCGATACAGGATTAGCAATTCTTATTTTAGTAGTTACTCCGTAGTTCGATGTGTCTTCATTAGATGGCGCTGTAGTATGTTTATGTGTCGAGTCGCCACAGAACTATCGAATTTGGAATAAGTTTTAACGGTTACGTCACTGCACACAGAACGCAAAATTACATCGTTGCTTTTTTAAAACCTCAAATTAAACAACAAAAGCAGTTTGTGGTTCTCCTGCTGTTGAGTATGCTCTTCAGAGTTAGAATTGCTGAAAATACGCATTAAATACCTGTTACGGAAACCTATATTCAATTAATTTTGTTTTTCAGAATCATGGGCGATCAAGAAAACGGTATAAGCCAGCCAGCATATCAAGTAAGTGTCTTCTTAATAAATGAGCATTACCTAATTTAGATTTTTAATCAACCTTATAACAATATTTTGTTCGCATTAATTTAATGTAATTCGGTTTATTTTTTGCTAAAAATATATTATTTAAAAAAAGGTTTGTACGATTTAGTATTTTTTTCTAATCACGCCATCTGTTTAGCCATTGACGTGTTAATACCTAATCATGTTACTACATCAGCGTTTGTTTCGTGTATGTGTAAATAGATGTCACTGTACGTAGTCATTATTTTTACAACTAGATGGCGTTTTTGGTTTCAGAATTGGCACTTTTACTTTTAAATTGTGTTTTTTTGTAGTTGTCTTAAAACAACTGTTTTTTTTTATCAAGCTGTGATGTTAATAAAAAATATAGTTTAAAACTTACTATCATACGACCTCAGTTTCACTTTTTACACAGCTAAAACAAGTCTACTTTGACTATTTTACTCGCAAGTGGAAATAAAATACTACCACATTTATTCTCTATTTTTTTATTTTCAGGTGCATTCGTCTGAAGATCTCGGTAAACACCTCGTTGCAGCTCGTGACCTCAATCCTGGGGATTTGGTATTAACGGAACGGCCTTTGGTGTTTGGACCAAAAGCCATGCCGGATCCAGAGTCAGTTATGCCCTGTGTAGGCTGTTACAAACCTATCCTGACTGACGCTGGAGAGAGATGCGCGAAGTAAGTTTTTATTTAAAAAAAAAAAATGTAATTCAATAGAAAATAAGAGGTACCAATTTTGAAAATCCAGGTTTACCTGACTGCGTTCTTAGACTTAAGGTAATAGATTTATTTGCATTGCATTCGAACAATCGACCCATCTAACAGAAAGCAATTATTTTAGTTGAAATATGATATTTTGGTATACTAGAAGTATAGTGCAATCATAATTAATATTTGTTATACCGACCAACCACATTGCCCTAGCGCTTTTTGTTTTCTGTTCCGGTGTTTAGTAAAAATAACTATTAAATAAAATGGCGTGTGGGGTCTATAATGGACCCCCGGACGTAACGAAGTTCCTTTCGCCTTTTCGCTTTTTAGTAGGCGTTTGCTATTAAGTATTTGAAATATGAAAAAGATGTGAGCGTCAACGCGCCAACTGGAGTGTCGGAAAAAGTCTTGATGAGGCTCAGAGTGCGATGAGGAACTTCGTTCCAATATGATGTTAACCACCCACTTTCATGATGCCGTATAATTCTGTTCTAAAAACAACAACAACAACCGTTCTATAACATTAAATTGCTTTTCTTTGAATTTTATTTTACAAACAAACTTATTACGTATAACTTATTTTATTTTAAGTTAAATCGAAACTTTAATTGTCAAAATGTTCTGTTACGGGCAAATTATATAGACTAGTCTTTTTTTTTGTCTCTGTCTTGTTGAGCAGGAATGTATGGCATTACAAGAAAATACCTTATTCTTACAGATGCGGTTGGCCAGTTTGTTCAGGCAACTGCCCTGGACTAAAGGATCCAAGACATCACGCAGCAGAATGTGAGGTGCTTAGCGTAAGGCCAGACTGTGTACTAAACGACATGGCTGATTACTACAGGTTATTTCACTCAATATTAGTAAAGTATTTCTTTTTATCAGCAACTTATTTAAGAACCAAATATAATTTGGATGTCTTGTCTAATTAAAAACTGGATAACTAAAAAATGACATTTTAATAATAATAACTGATATATTTATAACTTTACGCATCCCACAGTGTAAGCGTATGTCGGTGTCATATTATGTAATATAATATATGTAATATATCTCACACACGGCCGTCTGACCCTAAACTGGGCAGAGCATGTACTATGGTAACCAGACTGCTTATAAAGATACTTATATTTTTTTAAATAGATACGTGTTACAGATAAATAACACCCAGAAACAGTACAAATGACCGTGCTCATCACACAATATTTGTCATAGGTGGGAATCGAACACACGACTGCTGGTTTAACAGTCAGGGTCACTAACCACTAGGGCAACAGGCCCATCAATTATTAAGCTCGAGCTTTTATCCCGAGTCAATAAACTTAATATTTAAAAAAACTATTTAAGTTGAACTATCGTTAGAAAGTTGAGAGAGTTTGAAAAGTTGTCGGAAAGAAAAGAAAGAAAATGTAAAAGTAAAATGTATCGAAAAATATATAAAATATTTTGCACTTCATTTGTTTTTAGACATGACGCTTTACTTCCCTTAAGATGTGTTCTTCTTCAAAAGACTGATCCTGAAAGTTGGAAGAATGTACTGGAGATGCAGTCACATATGGAATGCAGAACCCCAGGCACAGAAGCGTATGAGTAAGTTTAACGATTATCACAATATTAAATCCAATCAATGATACAAAATTTAAAATTAATTGATATATCAGTAACTTTTCTTATAGGCGAGCAAGACCTATATGCAAATACACATACATACATCTTAATGTTATAGGGGTTATGTATGTGTATCATTTATTTAAATTTATTTAATTAAGATTTTTAATTTAATTGATAAACTACGAGTATAAGGCGAGAGTGCGGTGCGATTTGGTTGAAACGTCGGGTATACAAAAAAATAATTACATACCTATAAATATTATCGTGATTAAGTCCTGGTCTTCATATCTAATACGTGTATACTTATTGTATTCAAATATGATATATATGGAACGAGAAATCTAATTAAAATACATCTGAAGGCCAATTATAATTATTATTCTCGTAATAAAAATTTAGTTACAATTCAGTTCCGATCTACTCTCGATCTCACAAATGTGACAAAAGGATTTCTCGTAGTAAAATATTAAACATCTAACCGAAAGTTGGATCAGTAATCTGCTAGTTTTGTAATACTTTACTATCATGCTGTTTGTTTGAATGATCTCTCACGTATTCTTTTTTCTTCCAGTGAGGCGAATGAATTCATTGTGGAATATCTCATCAATAATTTTGTCAAGAAACTGGATAACAAATTCAATAATTCATATAAAATTACAGCAGAAATACTTCACAGAATTTGTGGTATTATCGATACAAATGCCTTGGAAATACGTCTAGCACAAGGGACAGAACTCAACGCATTATACGGCGAAACTTACAAGATGGAACACAGCTGCATACCTAATACTAAACATACATTTAGCCTTTCACCAAAAGATAGAAAAGATTTTTACAAAATTTCAATAAAAGCTGTCATTCCCATAGTAAAAGATCATCACATATCTACAATGTACAGTCATGCCTTATGGGGAACTCAAGCTAGAAGACAGCATTTAAAAGATACAAAATACTTTTCATGTAAATGTCAAAGATGTAGTGACCCTACAGAGCTGGGTACGTACTTAAGTGCCATGAAATGCTTAGGTGATGGGACGAGGCCTTGTGATGGAATACATTTACCTGAAAATCCATTAGATGATGAAACAGATTGGATATGCAGCAAATGTTCAGTAAAAATTAGTAATTCACAGGTAAACATGGTCATTTCACAAATGGGTGAAGAAGTTGAAAATGTTTTAATGATGGGAGGATCTGTGAACATTCTAGAAAATTTACTATGTAGATTATCGACGTTTTTACATCCTAATCATTATCACTTGTATTCTATCAAGCATTCATTGGTACAGTTATATGGAAGACAGCCAGGATATACATCTCACGATATTTTAAATAAAAAAATCAAAATGTGCAAAGATCTTATAGCAATAACTAAGGCTTTGGATCCAGGGAATGCTAGACTCAGCCTGTACTATAGTATTTTGCAACATGAGCTACATTCTGCTTTAGTTACGAAATGTAAAACTCCTAATGATGATTGCACTGCCAAGAAAGTTGAAGACTTAAAAGAATATCTCTCGGAAGCCAAATTAGCTATAACTGAAGCTTTAGCTTCGTTAAAAGATGACATGGAAGAAGTATCAGGTAAAAAATTACAAGATGTCATAATGAATAGCAAGAAAGATTTCGAAAGGTATTGTAAAGAAAAGAAAATAAATATTTAAAAAATGTATTGTTAACAGAAAATATAACAAGCTATTAATTAGTAAAGTTATCTTATATGGTAATATCACAGAGACGTCTTTGATTTAGTAACATTTTAAGCACCTTAAAGTACATGATTATTTATAAAACATAGATTTTTACATAAAATTTACCGACAGTTTGCGATCTTATTTCAGTTTAATATGGTCTATAAAGACATGAATGTCTGCTAATATAGTAACCTATTTCAAGAGATACAACATACACATACTAATATTAAAAGTACCTACTACAATAATTCATATATTCATTATGACGATGAGTTATGAACCTTTAACATTATATTGATCATCACGACATTTTCTGTTAATATAGTTGAAAGTCCTAATGAAGTTAAAAGTCCATTAGGTCAAAAAAAGTTAAAAGTCCGTTAGTCTCAACTTTCAACCGCAACTTTCCGCCATCGTTCCACACGGCAAAATTTTTATCCTCATTACCTGGATAGTTGGCGCTCTACTACTGTTCACTATTCGAGATACTTTTTTCCCTGAACAACCAATCTGTGGAACGGGTTATCTCCGGACCGATACGGCCTTCAAACCTTCAAAAAAGAGCGTACTTCTTATCCTTATAATATAATATATATATATATATTTTTTTTTTTCTTATTTGATATCGTTTTCTATTAAATTGGTAATTACTTGAATAAGAAGGCAGTACACTGCTTTTAGAAAATCCTCCTTTAATTGACTAGGGGATAATTTAATTATTTAACTATTATTATTAGCCAGTAAAATGGACTAACTACATGTTTCTACATACAAATAACAAGGATTTTTTTTTGTAAATAGTACCTACACAATAATACAATATTGTATTAATATCTTAGTCAATAAACCAAAAGACATAAAAAAGGATAATTGTTACACAATTTTAAATATTAGAAACTGTAAGTCTCCAATAAACGTTACATTATTCAACATTTTTATACCTATTTTTTTTGTACCCATATTACCAATTTTATCACTTTGAGACATTTAATTCTCAATCTAACCATCTGAATAATCTGGATTGTAGCCATTCTAATCAATATTTTCACATTAATCTTTAACCAAAAAAGCTACTGAAACTAGAAAACCAGTTGAGACCTCCAGAACTTCTGGATTTGTCATTGTTAATACTGCTGGATATCCAGTCGGTGTATCTAGATATTCTGGTATAGACGCCTGGCATTCTAGGCCTGGCACAACCGCTTCCGGTAGACACTACACCAATGACCATAACGTGGCGTGTGTCTTCCCTGGTCATGAGGGGACCACCACTGTCAGCCTGTAAAGAATCATATGCATATTTGAAAATTACATCAATTTTGGCAGTCATTTCTAAATCATTATTTTTATAATTTTTGACGTATTTTAAGATTAGTTAAAAGCCAATATTGGAACTTGTCAAATGAAATTCCTACTAGTTGTAAGTCTCAATCAATTTAAAAACAAAAGAGTTTAGTTTTTTTTTGTGTATTTTAAGTTTACTTGATCTTAAAAGGACCTGCAAACATCTAAAGTTAAATATGTTTGTCCTTAGTCCCAAATTATGTCTATTTCTAAAAAGACTGTTATGAGTATGAGTGTGTGTAATACGAGTATTTACGAATGTTACACATACTCATGATATAAAGGTATTTTTCTTAGATTTATATGTTTTTCTTATGACATAGGGCAAATGAGCAGACGGTTCACCTGATGGTAAGTGACTATCACAAAGTGCGTTGCAGCCTTTTGAGGTACTCGGTACCAATAGCCGGGAAACCAAGCCCTTTAGAATCAGGGGAGGGGTTTTTGGGCACAGGTAAACTTCTTAACACTCTTTTTTTGTGAGGTCGTGGTAAACATTTTTATTTATTAAAAAAACCTAATCTCTTTAAATAGCAGTTAAATTAAGGGTTGGCCTTAGGAGCGGAGTGGTGAAGCGAAACGGCGAGATATGGCTAATAAGATAAGATAATAAAAGTAAGTACCGTTACTTCTGATACTCATATACCTACCCAGCAAGAATCACGTCCCCCGACTTCATGACCAGCGCACATCTGACTAGGAATGATTTTAACCTTGCTGCCTTGAGATCTGTACCAACTGTTGCACTGGTCGTTGGTCACTACTGTAACTTCAGTTTTTTTCAGAACATTTGGTCTTGAACCTATTAGAAAATGCTATGCTTGAATTAAAGTGTTTTAGTAAATTTATTCATTAAAATGCTTCTTCTCCGATGAATCTCTAATATAGGAAATGTCTTCTATAATAAATACACAGATAGTAAACTAATTATATTTAAAAATAAATCCGAAGCCTATGGTGCAATACAAATTTAAAGTATTTCCAGACTACAGTAACACTTTAACGGAATTTAGTTTTTGACAGTTTTTCTTCTGAAAAAAACCTATTATCAAAGAACAGTAATCATCAGCCTATTGCAGACCGCTGCTGGACCTCTCCAATTGCACGCCACTTAAGTCGATGTTCAGCTTCCTAACTACCTACAGTTAATTTATTTAATAATACTTTATTAAGCCAGTAAAAATTAGAATCAAATAATACATTGCTCAACTATTTTATGGACCAACATTTTAGCACTAAATATCATTTTTACAGCAAAAAAAGTTGCCTTTATTAAATAAGTGCCTGCTGGTGTGAATAAGTTAATTTCAACTATCAGTACAAGACATGTATGACGAAAATTTAATGGCCGATTAGGTGACGATTTGAATCATTAACACCACACACTAAAATTGTTCTGATTGCCAATCTCTTGTCGGACGCACTTCATTTAAATGTAAAAAAGTATTATATTGTTTGTGTGTGTCAATGTTGATGATGTTTTGATTACCATAATATACAGGCACACACATAAGACACAATCAAAATTATAATAAATCAAGATCGTCCCTGAAATTTTATCGAACGTTCGTGATTTTTTTTTTTTGTTAAAATTGAATTTTCCTATTTATATTAAACATTGTATGTAGCTGTAACTCATTTTTGTACCCACCTTTTTCTCTATTCTCGTTAGTGAAACCCCATCCAGCAACAGTAGCGAGCGTCCCACTGAAATCATATGGTGAGTTCGGTAAGCAAGCTGGCTGCAATTCAGATGACCATCTCAATTGCCTCACTGTCTTTAGGAGAGCAACATCATTTGGTTTTTTACTGCATCTGTTGGACAAAGATATTACATCTAATCTGTTATCGCTTACCGTTATAACTAATTCGAACGGAATGATATATTTATGACACTTTTATTCCCAAATTTTTATTTAGAACTAAATCACTTTTTATTATATTATCGCATTTGAGCTACTCCAATAATGCACTTGAATCATTTCCAATGGCCCAACCCAAGATTGCTTTGCCAGATATACGTAAGCGAGGGCTTACATCAAATAATCAAATTCAGAAAATAAATATAGGGCAAATAAAATGATCCCTCTAAAACAGGTAACAAATCACAAGAGAAGCTTATTTTAACTACTATAAAAAAATACCTATCTAATTAAATAATAATATTGTAGTCAAGACTCCTAAAATACTATAAATTTAATAGTTTAACCTAAAATAATAAACGATAAAAGTGAATTCATTTGCAATTTGCACATCATAATATGTTTGAAGAGGCAATATTATAAACATAATGACTGTATACGTATATATTCAAAAGATAAAAGTGTCATTGCAAAAAACACTTGACGAAAGATATAACGTAAAGATTTCTGTATACAGAAGAATGTTCACTAAAGAGCTATTGACGATACAGTCCAGACAATTTATTTGATGTTAGTGCTTATATCAACGACACATCAAAATCGTAAGTTACATACTAAAAATTCCAAGACAGTGATTTTGGGAATTGGAGTATTTTTTCTTCATACTTCAAAGAGGGCGAAAGTAATAGACCGCTATTGATTTTATGTATTTGGCTGAAGGAAACACAAAATGAAGCAATCATAAAACATCAGCATGTATAACATACAAGGCTACAAGAGAGGAACAATGTTACAAGAAGAAACGTTATTTATAATGTAGCTATTATCTTCATATATTCACATATATTCACTTACTTGTAATCAGGATGAGGAAGAATTTTGGAAATCGGTTCATTTTCCTCTTTGTTCGAAATATCCGTATAACCAACGACCACTGACAGCTGTCTTGATCTGTAGAACTCGTCGAATACGCTGAAAAGTAATGAAGTCATTAGTCCAAACTGTTTTTCTTCACTTCTGCAATCATCCGTGGGTAATAACATCGTTTACAATCAAAGACCTTACATTGAACACGCATAACCCTCGACTTTATTGTCATAAGAAACCGATTCAAAACCAAATCTTTGACTAGATTTTTCTTAAAAATATGCACAATTTAAGCTTCAATTTCTTAGGCTACCGTCTTATTTCATGCGTCCATTGTTATTAACGTTTTAAAGACTTGGTGTGTATAATATAATTATATGTCTCTTTTTCTTCTTTAATAATATACTTCTAAACTATTTACATTATATGTAGAACTTAAAAAATTTACTCATATGTGCTCATGTTTCTTATTATTGTTGTAGCTATTACAACTTTACCCTGGCGCGTTCTTATGGGTTCTTCTCTGTTATAAATTATCCATTATTAACTTAATAGGAATTTGAAGAAATTTAAATGTCTAAATTGTATATCGACGATAGATATATAAGAAACAATATAAATATAATTGTATATATATATACAATTTATATACGATCTAAGTGGCGTGCAATGGGAGAGGCCTATGTCCAGCAGTGGACTGCGATAGGCTGATGATGATGATGATGATGATGATAGATATATAGACCAGGTGAATTCAGATTTAAGATGTGTAAATATTTTAAATACATGTATACTTATTTATAGCTAGCTGCCTCTGTTTCACCCACGTGATACTAGGATTCGAATTTCTTTGCGTGCTTGCCTAGGCTTTCTATGATTGGTTGACATTTTCTGTTATTTAATATTGCCTATAAACTTCTTTATAATTGACTGGTAGATCATAAGATCAGGGACGCTCTAGGTCTTTAGTCTTTACCTTTATAAATTCGTAGAAATATATTCAGATTATCAACATAACGCGTGACAGGAACATGTGACGAATTTCAGGCTAATACACACGCTTACTGGCAGAATTAGCGTAACACAAAAAAAGGAAGAATTAATGTATTTTTATGCAACACTGGCCGGTTATATTACTTTTGCCACCGCACAAACCGACTATACTTTGCTCGTGAACATCGTCATTGGGACTTCGACGAGTGGGGTCAGGATCTCTTCACTGATGAATGCAGAATTCTGTTAAATCAGATTGATGGAAGCCAGCGAGCATGGAGACGCAAAGGAGTGCGTTATATCCGGCCTATTTAGAGTGCAATAACATTTTGAGTTTTCATACGAAAACTTATATTGAAATAATATGAACTAAACAACTATAGTATTGATAGAATTTGTTATTAATTCAAGAATGTTGCTTTCGATTTTTGCTAAAATAACCGAGCGTGATTGGTGATTCGATATAGAAAATATGAACTAAAAATATGACCACATACTTCTTTCATACCTTGTATAAATATAAAAAAATAACGAACTGCTCATTTGTCTGTTATAAAATATTTCTTGACGACTTAAACCAAAACCTTCACAGCAAAAACTCTTACGGGAATCTCTCTTAGTACACTAGAGTTTTAATTTTAATCAGACGTACGTACCTGCAAACACAGTGTCCTGCTGTTAAGAGCCATCTGTCACTGAGTACTGTAGCACCACACTGGTGAGCCCCTTGTCTCCAAATACTTGCTGTCCATGGAAACTCTGCTGGAAGACTGTCGACCCCTCCAACTATACGACCTCTCCGACCTATGTTCAAACCACATTCAACGTCTGCCACTGAAATAGAAAAAAACTGTTATGGTATTGACTCTAATGATTGACAGTTTGAATTAATGAAAGAATTTATGACAGTTGTGAGATCAAAAGTTGATCGAACTGAATTGTGACTGAACTTTTATTATGAGACTTGGCCTTCAAGTGTACCCTAGAAAGGAAATCCCTGGTACATCGACCTTTAGTGGACAAACTAAACCTAATAAAAGTAGTTAAATTCATTCATAAAATCATTTATAAATCAAAAACTCGTTCGTATCGTTAATTATAATGAATTAATTATACGAACGAGTTTATGAATGAATTTAGTTGGTTTTATTGGAAATAAAATTATGCATGTTATTATTTTCATTTTGTTCGTCTTAAACAATTCTGATATTAGTTTATCAGATATCATGTGTCTATTTCAATTGCAAAACTGATAAAACATCTTGTTGGTTGATAAAAGTATAAATCAAATCCAGCAGAGGCTTATTGAAACTGCGCTTTAGTTTAAGGCGAAATCTTTTGATAGAGATTTGTACTGGGACCTAATACGTTTTAAGGTCCTCGTATAACAGAGAACTGCCTATTTTGGACGCTCTGGGTATTAATTAAAAATGTCCCAGGGAATATCAGATATATAAAAAGGGCTCGAGTTAGTCCGGGTCGCTTATGATGTCGCTCGAACACGTACTCTCCCAGTCTTAACTTTTTTTATCATGCAGTTGGCAAACCAGCAGACGGGCTAGTTGATGGTAAGTGACTACCGCCGCTCACGGACACAAGCAACTCAAGAGACACAAATGTGCTGCTGCCTTTTAGTGTCCTCTCCCCTCAAAACAAGACGGGAGAGGGGTGGGGCTCCGGCAAACTCACTTACAAAAGCAACGAAAAGATTTGATCACAATGGCTTTCCTACGGTAAACCTTTAATGCTTATATTAATTACACTATAGCTAATACATATAATTGGGCAATTGTAGCTTATCTTTTGAAGCAAACAGTTTACTTCTACTCTGTTTATCAAATGCTGAGGTTCTTTTTTCAAGAGCTGCAAATCAATAATTAATCAACTAATGTTTATATCGCTTTTCTGGCTACGTACAAAATAATATTTATATATGTTTATGTTAAACAGAATACAGAATTTACGAAGGAGCAAGTCTAAACAGGTCTAAACACAACTTAATTTAGGACAACGACATTACTGTGATCAACAGCCTTTGCTAGTCCGCTACAGGACATAGGCCTCTTCTTAAAAAGGAGGTTTTAGCCTACTATACCACGCTGACCAGACGGATTAGTATAGAGTTTCTTTCAAGTTTTCCTTCTCTTTGCGTTGACGTTATCCTTCCGTTTGCTCCCTTAGTAGGCACATTCCGTATTCTTATTCCACACGGACCGCATTACCATGATTAGATCTGAGTTCCGATGACCCCTTCACCAGTACTCGACTAGTGGTAAGAAGTGGCCTTTTTGAAACAGTGCAAATTTGAACACAACACATTGTAAAAAACTGAGAAACAGAACACCTTCACTGTTTAACCCTCAAATACCACAACAAGTAAAGCGCACTTACGAAATAATACCATCAATAAATTGCACAAAAATAAATTTACACAAAAATAGAATACCGATATGTTTCGTTCAAAATTTTATTGTTATTTTCTTAAATTGGCGATTATACCATAATGGTGTAGGTACATAATTTATGAGGCTATATTTTAAGTCTGGGTCTGTGGGTCAGGCTCGGTCATGGACAACTTTTGTTGTGTTTTATCTCAGTCAAGGTCAAAAACGCGTGTCTCATGTTGATATTAATTAAGCGGACCTTTTAATTCGTTGTTTCCTTGGTCTTTATTCGTTTTTTTAACATATAAGCGTGAAACAGTCAAGTAGTTTTTCTTATTTATTTTCTAGTTATTTTAACATACCATTATTTTAATATATCATTGTGTATAAATTTTATATTTGTTATGTAAAATTTTTGTTACCTTGCAATATGCATTGTATGTTTAGCGTATAAACTACGAGTAATATAATAATAAGTTAGTAAGTAAATTTTATGGCTAAATTTAATTATTTGCTTATTCATCTTAATTATCGCTATTATTATATAATTAGGTATTTATTTTGGTGCTTGATAATACAATAATATAAATTTAAATTTTATTTTTCTCAAATATTTTATGGTAGGTATTTTAATAAAGATTTCCATGAAATACTTTAACTTAAAATATTAATTTAATGATTAAAAATGATGATTAAAAAATAAAATATTAATTTAATGTTTATAATTTATTTTTTAAATTAATTTTATCCTGATCATACTCACAATTCATATAACACAATCCATAACTAACACAAGAAATTAAAAACACAAATATTACACGACACATTTTGTCAAAATGCTACAACAATCTGAAGTACACAAGATAACACTGTCGTATATATCTCTCAAAAATAGGTCTAGGATAAACTTCAGACATAAAATAATTTACACGTGTCTTTATATATGTGTAAAATATATATGTCGACACGTGTCAAAGTGCGTGCACTCACTACATGCTGTACGATTAACATAAGGATATTTAAGTGCTCTATGATTTGTATCAGCCCTTCTTTGAATGTGCGAAGGCCTGACCCCTATATTGCTTTAGTGATGTGATGAAAATTATCGATAACTTTATGTTTATATGTTTATGGTAGGAGTTTTTTGTTCATACAAGATAATTGTATTTACATCACAGTAAGTATTTGATTAAATATATTAACAAGTATATCGATTACTTTGTAGCCTTGATGATAATTTATTTTTATTTTATTAATAAACGATTTTACTGTAGCATAATACATTACAAAATTGATATTTCCCAAGTTAAATGTATGTGTATCATGTAATATCAAAGTATTGTTAAATATCGTAAATAATATTTATAATTATTGGTTAAAAGGAATCCTTTTAAACCAACAATTTTTAGCGATTTCTTTACTCTAAATTAATATGATTATGAATGGTGTTTAAAGTAACTACAATTTCTAGTACTTAAAAAACATAAACAAACAACACAAATGATTTAATGTTTTCTAAACCATTCTCACATCAACTCACCACATCGCAGTAGTTCTGGAAAACGTTAAAAATTTAAAGTTTAAACGTTAAAGTTCGACCCTGCCAAATAGACCTCTGATTTTTGGTTTATAATATTTGTCTTGATTAAATAAAACTATTTGTTAATTATTCAATGCATAAAAATCGTTAAGTTTCTTACAGCTAAACTTCCTCAACACACAAAAAAAAATGTTTGTTTATATTTTGTACAATGTACCTAACCCAAAAATAAACATAAATACATGCCTATAATAATTATTGAAACACATTATGTATCGTCTGAAGCATTTAAAGTATCACACATTTTAAACAACATCGATAAACATAAGTCATGGCGCATCACTAGCTGTAACAAATTCATTGTCAGGTTCGCAGCAACCTCGGATAAGAAGCGATTAGAGTCGCGGAACCACCTGTTAGCGATAAATGCGTGGGTATTATCGAAATATTTCTATGCAATGTGTACATTAGTATGCAGTGACAATAATTTTGATATTATTTTCATTTTTTATTTCACTGCTATTTTTAGAACAAAAAAATTTAACAAAAAGAAAACATATCATTTTTTTTATTTCTTTTTACTTGTAGAAACCCCCTCGGGCCGTGGCCCCAACGGGGTTTCGAGCGACGATGCCCAAGCCGATCAAATTGCCAGCATGCGCTGAGCCGAGTCCTTTCTACAATCTCGCGACCGGGTGCAGGTACTTCCCGAAGCAGCTGTGCCCAGAAAGGACCTACGTCAGTCGGAAGGAAAGGATCCCATGCTGCCGCCTCGCTCACTCGGTGATAACCAGCTGGAGCGCCAGAGGCGTGCCCTATTAAGGGCAGTCAGAGCCGCCGCCCACACCGGTGCACCGTACAGTGCCATTGACCGGACAACCCCCGTGTACAGCCGTCTTGTGGCGATGCTGGGTTCAACCAAATCGGGTAAAAGTCACCTAAGGGCAGACGCAGCGCCGACCAGCTTTGGAGCAAGCTGTCGGAAGGACTTGTCAAAGAGCCACCTCTCGTCGAGGATCAGTACGAGGACCGAGTTGACCACAATTTAGGTACCATGACCACGACGGGGCCCATGGAATAAGAGGGTCTCCGTCATATCCAGTGTCTCATTGCGCCCGACCACCAGAGAGACTCTAATACCAACCCGCCTGGCCAGTGTGATATATCAAACACAACCTTCTTTCTAAGGAGGGGCCTTTGTCCAATTGTTGATCAAAACATTTGACATACTGCCCATATTTGTTTTACTGTTTGAGTGAGAACAGTTTTCAGGAACAGGGACAATTTTATTGCTATAGAATTTCCTTGGGTGTGAGTGTCTAAGTGTGTCTTATACCTAATTTTATATTCTTCCTCTCTTAATAGGTATGTAAAAAGGAAGAGTACAGAAGTTCACAGTTTTTCTAAGAAACATTACAAAGTATTTGTGATAACAAAATTGCCAAGTATTTGTAATATCTGGATTTATCTTTTATCCAAGAAGGTGCCGTGATGTTTTTTAACTCTTTATATTTTAGGTTTATTTTTTTTACTTAAGTTTATCATTATTACAAATATGATAAATAATTAGGAATTAAAACGTGTCACCTATATTTTAATAAATGTTTAGTTTTATTCTATTCTCTGGTAGAACTAAAACTGTCGCTTGACTTGCTTAGCAATGAGAACTTATCATATAAACTATGCCTGCAGGACTTTGTAGTCGCTTTAATACAATTTTAAAAGAGTCTGATCTAATTTTATATCAAATCAAATATCACCACCGTTGGAATAAAATAATTAAAAAGCACCGGTAACCGCACAATACGAGTGGAAAAAGATAACTATTTGTGGCCCGAGCAACGTAAAAAAAAACGTAAAACTTCCTTAAAGATATTCAAGAGGTTCATATTATCACAACAATAGTTTATTTATACGAATATAGAACAAAGAAATCAATAGGGCTAAGTCTATTACCACATATTGAAATTCATACCTTGTCCTGTAAATGTGACCAGCCGTTTTAAATTTTACAAGTATTTCCTCATACGTAAAAGCTCAAGTAAAACACTGTACTACAAAAGGAGTCGTATCAAGCTGTTTATTATGTAGTCACGTTAATTTAAAAAAATCACATGATTATAGTACCTTCTAATGAATTTTTGTTTTATTTTTTAATAACTATTCATCACTCAAAGTTTGCTATCCTCTTACGGGTGAAATTATTATTTTTTCACAAATTTCGATTTTTGTACTATATATTATGGTAACTAGTTTTACCTTGCGGTTTCACTAGCGTTAATGTCGATTTTTATATATGATACAGAGCTATGGGTTAAAGTGCTACTATAGACTATATTCTATTTCTGTGCCAAATTTTATTTAGTTCTGGATAGCAAAACCAAACATACATATAAACCATCACAATAATAGTAAGATTATACAAAACCTTGTAAGACAATTTTAGTGGAATAATGAATACTATACGTTCCGCCTGAAGTAATAAATAATTCAAAGGGACTCTCCTTGAGAATATACTGAACGCATGGTTGCCTTACAACTATTAACATGACTGACAAGCCTGATGACACATTACTCATTCCACAGTTGGTCAAGTTCACGTTAAATGGAACAATATAATGTCAATTTTATCTTAACTAGGTTAGAAGAGTTGCTTTATTGATTTGTTTGATGTCTTCACTCATTTGTATATTTTTTATTTATTTATTTTTTAATAAAGACTAAAAAGGCATTAGGAACAAATTCTAACGGACGCAAAGGACCAGTATATGTGTATACAGTACAGTACAGAATATGTCTATTAAATTGAAATTAAAAAATCAAAATTAAAATTTGAATTACTATCTCAATATTAATTTTAGTAGCTTTCTTTTCCTTAAATCTTTTTAACCAACTTCAAAATCATCAATTCGGTTATCAATTCAGATGTTTAAATATTTTTTATGTATGTTCCTGCATGACTCTGTCATATATAGACGGTTTTTCAAAATTATTTATTTGTTCGAAAGGGGTTTATGCCGAAATGGTCCCATTTAAATTGCATATATGTAGATCTGATGATGAGTTCGCACACAGACAAGGGAAGTCGTAAGAGATGACAGCAAATTAACCGCGATCGCTGCTAGGTTTTAGAGCTCTTTGTTAGTATTATTTGAAGTCAGTTCAACTTTTTTTGAAAAGGACTTCCTTGGTTGTATACGAATAGTATTAATCGCTGTATCAATAAAAAATGTCTAACAGGAATGCCAATTGTTCTTACCACTCCTATCATTAAAGAAATTTACATTTTATTCTTTACTGTCTAGTACCGTTTATTATTTACTTTATTTCAATACCAAGTTTTTTTTCTGTATATTACCTGTATCAATACTACCTTATCTTTATCTGAATCGTACGTCCAGAATGCTAATCTGCGGAATCCGGAATGCAGTTTTTAATCCAGCTGCTCCCGTCATTCCTTTCTCGACATCTGCTCTATAGTAAATCTTTGAATTTAAGACTTACTTGCTTGATCGATATTTAAACATTAAATATATTATAGACACATACTTAATCGTATTAAAATATTCCTGGATTGAAAACCGTTTGAGATGCTACATAGCTTTTTGTCACCAAACGCTTTTACTTTCATAAAAGGACTATTTGAAGAATTAACATAAAATATCAATCACTAGATGACTGCATTGAACCTATTTTGAGACACTACTAAAACGTAAATATCACTACGGCACCGTACTCATCATAAATACGCCGTTCATATGTCATACGGGCGTGTCCAGACTGTCAACAAACACTTACCTTCATGTGACCTTACCTTATCAACGCCCACATACGAACACCCAATCTTTTCCGCTACTGCAGTTCCGACTTTGAGATACTAATTTTAGTAGAAGGACAGTGTTTTTTTTGTAATTGCTTTTTTAGATAACGCGCTATTTATATATTAACTGTGGGAACTTTTTTGTTATTGTTTTTATTTAATTGAATTGTAAAATACTGTTCATTTTTGTCGTAATCGCTTAATAGAATGTCAGACAGACACCTAAGCCTATTAAAGCTTGCTTAGCTTTAATTGGTTAAGGTGTATGTCTTACATGAAGACAACTGCACAATTCTGTAAATATCCTCTGTACTTCCATCTTCCATACTTATGTTATAGTTAACAAAGTGAGTCTGGTTGTTTTTTTATTTATTTATTAAAAGACAACTCCCGAATTAGGAATATATCCTGTGTCGCGGGGGACTTTACAAGCATACATGAAACGGACACAAAGATAACCAGACTAA